TATAATCGCCAGGATGATCTTCGTACAAATTAGTCTCATACAAATGTATGGTTTTTGAACTCGTCCGGGTTAACACAGTGTGGTGTTAATTGTGAAGGAGAAAGAGCAAACCAATGGTTACCGTTCCAGACTGTGAAGCTGAGGGTCAATGGTTAGAGTCCAGTTACCTATAAATAATCGCACTCTACACTTAAGGGCAGTGAAAGCGTTATAAGAGTGATGGTCCGTTTCCACTATTCGGTCTGACCAGAGTAACCACAGAGTTGGCGGTGGGTAGTTTTGAGTAGCTGGAAACTGGAAGTAGAATAATTTTGAACACGGAGTTAGACAGTAAAACCTCATTCTTCATCGGACAGAGTTGTTCCGCTCTCAAAGAAATTATCCACATTTGGGTAACTGGTTTCTCAATCTGCCAGAAAATTTCATGCAAAGTTTATCAACGCTAGCAGTCCCTAATTTTCAACTGACCAAATAGTGAGTTTTGACGGTCACTCTTATAGAACACCCACGGCCCCAAAGTACGGAATAAATTTTTGTGGCAACGGAAAGCGATCTGTGACGCCAACTACTTAGCCACGCCCGGCCTCGGAAAGTTGAACAAATGTCTTTAAAATAATTCAAAGTGAAGGAAGATAACGTGGAACATGTTTTAAAAATGTGATCTTAAATTGTATTGTGTATTTATAGAAAAACTATTAAGGCCATCGTCTCTATTTTTTAACTACTGACCAAACGAAAGGCAGCCAGTGAGCAACAAACAGCCACCCAGCCTAAGAGACTGACTGTTACTGTTATAAAGCATCTACGGTGATTTATAGCATCGCACGGATCCGAACCCGGATCGTCAGTTCCATCAGCAAACCCACGCCACTGAACTAGTGAAAACAAGGTTTGTATGTGACGACATAGTGTGTCAGTGCTATTTAAAGATTGTTCACGACAATTCCCGTTAAAAAGTAGATCGAATTTCTTAACAAATTATTAGAAGTGACGTTGGCGTGTTCATACTTTCATAATAAATCCCTTGAATATCTAATATAATTTTTTCCTAAACATGTAAAAAAAGAAAGAAGTCCACTCCAAAACCTCCTTTTGTGAAGCTCAGATCGTAATAAAACGGCTAATATATGTCACTTTGGACAGGCGATACCTATACAATGTATTCCGAGTACATTCATTACATCATATACTTGATAAATGCACGTTCTCTCGAGTCCGTGAAACTTTTATATTTTATCAATAAAAAGCTGAGGTTGCGCGAGCTCAGAATTTTTGTCCTACACCAAGTACAACGTCGAAAGACCACACCCACAATAGCGTAAGTCGCGAGCTTCATATAGACGTCGTTTGTTTATCAAGGATGAGGCCTAAAGTGTCGACGCCCTCTTCCGGCACATCAATATTTAGCTTCACGACTTTAGTTATTTCGTGAAGCTACGCGTTGTTCTGTCTACTAATAAACAAGAAACCTTTTAGTTTATCAAAACATTACTGATCGTGGAAACGTTGATAAAATTAAACAAAATTCCAATTAACTTCTAAAGTTTGATTAACTCTATTACATGTTGAGTTTTGGTTTTAATGAACTGCCCTCGCCTGTTTTTACGACCTAAAATACTCTTGAAATAATATCTTAAACAAATTATTTTTATGAGAAAAAAAACACGTAAAAAGCATGTTGTTTTCCGTTGAAATTGTTTGTTTTTGAATTTCGCGCAAAGCTACACGAGGGCTATCTGCGCTAGCCGTCCCTAATTTAGCAGTGTAAGACTAGAGGGAAGGCAGCTAGTCATCACCACCCACCGCCAACTCTTTGGCTACTCTTTTACCAACGAATAGCGGGATTGACCGTCACATTATAACGCCCCCACGGTTGAAAGGGCTAGCATGTTTGGGACGGGGATTTGAACCCGCGACTCTCAGATTGCGAGGAGAGTGCCTTAACCACCTGGCCATGCCGTTGAAATAAACTAGGCCTAACGACTAAAACTTTTAATATTAATGAGCTGAACTTCATCACACGGAGAAGACATAAGGGATCCCTGGGGTGACATAGAGAGGAGAAATCGAACACCCATGTCACTCCCTTATAGTTCTAACAGTATATGCTAGGTTTGTTGACAATCGATCCAACGGTTCGCCAGTTATAAGTGTACAAACACAGGTTTAAGACAAACTATTTGCCAATTTATCTGTATAAATAAAGATCGCTCTGTGCAGAGATACTTGGGTAGTGAAAAAACAACAACCTTGAATGATGTTTATTACCAATAAGTCAATCGCTCTGTGCAGAGATACTTGGGTAGTGAAAAAACAACAACCTTGAATGATGTTTATTACCAATAAGTCAATGTTATAAAACTTTAGTGATGTCTTACTACAAAGTTTACTTTTTGAAAAATATTCAGTTCAACGATACAGACAACATTGGTGTATTAAATCAGTCAACATTAAATTACACAATAATTACAGTCGACGAACTTCGATAGTAGTTGCTTAAACCTGGACTCAACTAATTATCGTTATTAATAACCATCAAAAGCTGAATTTTACTAACTATTAATAACCAGTAAAACAATTGATAATCTTTAAACTTCTCCAACAATTATCAGTTATTAACTATTACAAGAGAAGTTGACTACTACACTCTGATGTCTATATTTGAAGCTACCAGGGTATGGTGTTGTTTATTTGTTTAAAGTTAAGCACAAAGCTACACAATGGGCTATCAGTGATCTGCCCACCACGGGTATCGAAACCCGGTGTCTAGCATTGTAAGTCCGCAGACATGCCGCTGTGCCACTAGGGGGTGTACGGTTTTGTAGTTAGGCACAATGCCACACAATGGGCTATCAGTGATCTGCCCACCACGGGTATCGAAACCCAGCGAAAAGCATTGTAAGTACGCAGACATTCCACTGTGCCTCTAGGGGGTGTACGGTTTTGTAGTTAGGCACAATGCCACACAATGGGCTATCAGTGATCTTCCCACCACAGGTATCAAAACCCGGTTTCTGGTGTTGTAAGTCTGCAGACATACCGCTGTGCCACTAGGGTGGGGGCACTAGAATACTGATTGAAAAGTAGCCTCACTAGTAACTGTGTCAATATTCCTCACAATAGAAATATTACAATACCCATAAGTATTATGTATATACGATAAAATAGTTATGTGTGTATATTATATATGATAAAATGGTTATGTGTGTATATTATATATGTGTGTATATATACGATAACTTCTATTCACTCAAGCAAATACAGTGGAAAGATAGTAAAACTGATAACATTCAGTGTTATTTTAAAAATAAAATCAAACATATATTTTTCAGTGGAAGCTCCAACAGGTTGTAATAAAAATTGACGACTTATATAGTACTGACAGTGGTATAGCATCATTTCTTCCCACACGTTTATATGACAAATTGGTACAGGATAGTAAGAAATACACCGAGTAGGCCTAGGATATGACACTGTGTTACGTGTGAAAAGTCTTTGGTTAATTTAAATGAACATTAATAATAATTTCATGATTCACTTGCCAGTTTTGCAAGTAGAAAAATTAATAAAACTTAATCAAAACCAAAATGGGTACTTGTAATATCCTACCAGAAACTTTTGTTTTTTGTTATTCAACACCAAGCTACACGATGGGCTATTTGTGCTGAGCCCACCACGGGTATCGAAACCCTGTTTTTAGTCTTCAGATTTACCTCTGCGTCACTGGAGGCCCAATCAGAAACATTTAGTTATTTAAGGTGATTTAGCTAAGTTTAAGTGAATAACGTGTGATATTGAAACTTGGTTATAATTCTGAATTCAACTATTTAACAAAACGTTAATATAATACATACTGTTCTTTGGAATTTTTCCAGTAATCGACAGTAAAGTTTATCGTATTGTTACTGTTATGTAATATAATAAGAAGGCCTAGTCTAGGTAATACAATAAAATGAGCCCAAGCTTGTTTACTATTACTAGGTAATATAATATAATAATAAGACATAGTGAACTGTTAAGTAATACATTATTAAGA